TATATAGATTCACCAGAAGTTGCAAAGAATGTACAGGCAGGTCCCATATATCAGGGGTCCACGGCCTGTTATGAACCAGGCCGCAAAGCAGGAGGTGAGTGGTGGGCAAGCGAGCAAAGCTTCATCTGCCGCTGCCCATCGCTGCCCATCGCTGCCCATCGCTCATATTACCTCCTGAACCATCCCCCCTGCACCCGGTCCTTGGAAAAGTTGTCTTCCATGAAACCAGTCCCTGGTGTCAAAAAGGTTGGGGACTGCTGCCATATATCCTTCACCCAGCTTCCCCTCATGTAAACTTTTCAGTGACTTCTTATTGCTGTGGGTAATGTCCAAAATCCTTAACTTGACCTCCAAAGCCCTTGGGACCCACCACTGTCCCCACCGCTCACTGACCTCCCCGACAACAACCTTCCTGTAGTTCCTCCACTGACCAGAGATCTAGGCCTGCCTCGGGCCTCTGCTCCCAAACACTTTTCCCTTCCTTCCTTCCCCATTCCTACTTCTCTCATTCAGTAACTCTTCTTTGCTCTCCTTGTGGCAGCTTTGTTATCCCTTCCTTAGTGAACCTTCTTTGAGCACTCATTCCAAAGGAGGTCCCTTCACATTCTGTCCTCTTTGGTCATAGCCCTTGTCTAGATCCAGGATCTAGAATGCTTGTGTGTGTTTAACTTTTCATGTCTGGCTGTCCTCTTTGGTCATAGCCCTTGTCTAGATCCAGGATCTAGAATGCTTGTGTGTGTAACTTTTCATGTCTGGCTGTCCTCTTTGGTCATAGCCCTTGTCTAGATCCAGGATCTAGAATGCTTGTGTGTGTTTAACTTTTCATGTCTGGCTCACGTGTAGACTCCAAGTACAATGTGGCAAAAGCTTTGTCCGCTTTGACTGTCACCCAAGCAGAGCCCAGGCCCTGCACTTGATAGGTACAGCAGTTGGCTCTATGGAGCTGTCCACGTGATATTTCTGTTTCTGTCAAGTAAGAAAGAAACTGGATTATGCTAAGACCCCTCTGAATTCTAACCTCTTCCCTTTGCTTTCTCCCCCTCCAATATCCATGAACTTGTTCTGAGCTCGACCCAGTTACAGTAAGGGCACTTAATTTCCTCTTTGACTTCCCCTCAATAACAGATTGTGACTGGTAATTCATTTAGCCTATGTTGAAAGCTGCAAGTCTACTGATTAGGTTCCCAAGCACCCAGCTTGCTGTAATAAAGACAGAGAAAAGATGTCATCTCTCAAAGAGAACCTGGAAGATAATTATTTCTGGCAGAAAACTTGTTTTGTCTCACAGACTTACCCTTCAGAGTCATTCATGAATGAGTAATGAACTCAGGAAAGATCAGTGACGCGTTGTCTTAAGGCTTCAATCTGCTTTGCTGAGAACTGAATAAAAAGAAAGTTACAAGAGGAGATGATGATTTAGAAAGAGAATTATGGTTGCTCTAACGTACAAGTCTTGAAAGAAGGAAATTGGGCAATTCATCTAGTTTTCTATGAGTAGTTTTTCAGGTTTCAATCATGAGTCACCTAAGTAATTTTTTTCTCTGCTATTTAATTCCAGTGTTTATTTATTTTATTGTTTTCTAA